TATGATCCTCGTCCGTATCTTTATAGATCGGGCAGATGGGCCCACGAGCTCTCGTGGTTGCATTGATCGATCGTCAGCATGAACGGCTGTTTTGATGGAAGGACACGTGCTTGTAGCTGTTTCGTGATCGGTCGTATCTCGTGCGTGGCGCTCGATGCGACAAAGTATGCGGTCGCGATTCCCTATGCCTTGGGATTTGAAACGACGCTTAGAAATCTTTGAAAATCTACTGGCAGGCGGAACGATGATCACTCTTTCTCTACATCTTCGTTTCTTCCACCTTTCACTCGATTGACTGTTTCTTCGATTCTGATGGCTTACCATCCGTTCGTCAGCCATATTCCATCGCAAGCCACAGAGGAAGACCTTTTAAGACTCCGTGCCACGTATCATATCCTTGACTATGTTCTCATGCGTCTTCCGACTGAGGACAAAAGGATAGACACCCCGCCGCTTGGGTGGGTGAGTTTCTTCCAACAAATGTTCTTGAATGGGGTTAGGATTCGTCTCTCTCTCTTTGCTTAGTCTGTCTTAGTTTTTGTCAGTGTTGCTCCAGCATAACTGGCTCCCAAGGCGTGAGGGATTTTGATGGGGCTGGCCATCGTTTACCCGAACTTGAAAGGAGGTGAGAAGATGTCTCTCATGCTATTGTCCACCCTAACCCTTATGAAGTCCATCAGGGGTTTTCACAGGTTCTACAGCCTAAGTTATCATTGTGGGACGCTCTTCAGCATTCCATCTTTGACCAAGAACTGGAAGGATCATTGGTCCCTCGTTGGAGATCGACGGCTGGTCAGTGATGGCTCCGTGGTGGGGTGCGTGGCCAGTTGCTTCAGGGATAACAGTACGTATCTAACGATTCCTCTTTCCCCTGTTTTCATGGCAACCTTCAAACTCTGATTTCTCTTGGCAGTATTTCCGGGAGGGGCCCCTCTTGTTGTGTCTCGATCAGAAAACGTCTTGAAGAAGATTCTGGCCATCCCTATGATCGAGAGGGTCCCTACCCTCCTTATTACGGACGATAGGTTGGCCAATCATCGCCTGGTTAGGGATCACAATGGTCCGACTAGAGGCAATGACAAACGTCTGACCCCTCTCGAGGCTTCAGTAGGTAAAACCGCGAGCCTTTCTTCTTTGTTTAGTTGTGGCTTGCTGAAGTTTGTCGGTACGTCTGTATAAGTTTAGCGAAGCCACCATCTGTTTCTCCTACAAGGCGGGAGTTAGTTATCTGGCCCCTTCTCCAGATTGGGCAGGCTTCATTTGGCGGTTTGGGCAGCAGTAGGAACGCTGCATCAACCAGTGTTGTAGCCCTTGCCTCTCCAAGTCCTTCTACCAGAGTC